CCAGCTCGACGCTGGCGCGTGGTGCGTTGTCTGTGCTGTGTGCGGTCTTGGGGGCCTCAAAGTGTCCGCTCGGCTCTCCCAAGAGTGCAGAAGGGTCCCCCGAGGCTGGCTCCACGGTGCGCGCGTGTTGATGAATCTCGTGCGTGCGCCTGCCAGGTATAGCTCGAACAAGGTGCGGGCGATAGTTATATCCATATCCAGAGCGTCTTGGACTTTTTGGGAAAAGGCCGACGCGCACTGGATATGGACAAAAATCGAACCTTGTGGGGCCAGATCTTTATCTATCTCCAGTGCGCCTCTGGTTTCTGGGGAACAGAGCCCAACACTCCAAGACGCACTGGATGTAGATATAACTATTGCCCGCGCACGGCCTGGCATCTTCTTCGCCAGCCGTTTCGAACTGGCGGCTTGATACGTGCTGGGGAAGTCGACTCTCTTTCAGTCGCCCAATTTGTTTGGTTTCTCTTGTATCTCACCCGAAGGGTGGGTTGGAGTGAGTGGTGGCGAAGGTGGCACTGGCCCTATCAAAGGGTTGCGCCACCCACCCAGCTCAGAGTGCGCTGCAAAACCCATCGTGGCGCCAGGTCTTGTCGAGGAGGAAGAGGAGGAGGAGGACGAGGAGGAGGAGGACAGGAGGAGGAAGAGGACGAGGACGAGGACGAGGATGAGGAGGAGGAGGAAGAGGAGGAGGAGGAGGAGGAAAAGGAGGAGGAGGATGTGGAGGAGGAGGAAGAGGAGGAGGATGGGGGAGGAGGAGGAGGAGGAGGAGGAGGAGGAGGAGGAGGAGGAGGAGGAGGAGGAGGAGGAGGAGGAGGGAGCGCCCAGGGGTGCGCCGCACCGCGGGTAGCGATTGCGCGGGCCCACTCACGGGCGTGGCCCGCCCTCTGGGGGCCGCGCCCAAGGATGGGGTGCCGGCGGCCTCGGAGGGGCGGTCGCTCGCTACATGTCGCGCGCAGCGTTTGTGCTAGAAACAGTACCGTTCAACCGATGCTTCACCCGATCCCCATCCACATCTCGAGCTCCACCGTCTCACCACCTCAGTTGGGGATATGCCCTTCGAAACCCGGAGAGAGCAGTTTATATTTCCATCGCGGGGGGTCAACCGGCCAGTGGGGCCCAGCCCACGTTGGTGGGGATGGGGATCGTTTAAGCATGCTCATAGACCTGAAGTTGTAGTCATAAACGGAGCGAACGCGACAGCGAGCGCTGAAACAGTTTTGGTCGGCATTGGCTTACAAGTGCAACTTGTATATTTGGTGTGTCAGCTTGTGGACTCGCGCGGGGTTGTTGCAGTGCAAAGGCTGCAGTTGGAGCTGCAGGTCGAGTCTGCTGCGACGCCGCCCCGCCCCGACCTTCTCGGCAACAGGCCGTCCCACTAACGCACACGGTTTTCAGTGATGCCCCCCCCCCCCCCCGAAGTTTCGGCTGGCAGTAGTCGTCGCATCCCTCTTCGCACTTCCCCGCCGCGCCCTCGTCCTCGCTCTCCCCCCGTCGTGCTCCCCTGTTCGCCCTCCCCCTCGTCCTCCTCCCCCTGCTCGTCCTTCCCCTCCTCGCTCTCCTCTTCGCTGTCCCTCCTCGCCCTCCTCGTGTTCCCCTGCCTCGTCCTTCCCCTCGTCGCCCTCTCCCTCGCCCTCCCCCGAAATGCGGCATATAGTGTGGCCAAGAAAGAACGGGGGAGGGCAATTGGGAGGGGGACGGGGTCGCGCATGTGATCGCGCGCAGCAAGAACTCGCCACAATTGCGGTGAGCTTGATCGGATGTTTCCGCCGGCGGAATTATCTTCTGACTATTTTTCGTCTGTGGATTGTTGTTGGGTGGTTATTTGCGGATTTTGCTCGCTGGTCTACTCCGTGCGGCAGAGGGATTTTGAGCTTGTTTGTACAACGATTGCAAGACAATTCGCTGCATTTCAACTCGGGTCGGCGCGTCGTCTTCGTCGCATTCGTCTCGTCGTCGTCGTCGTCGTCGTCGTCGTCTTCATATGGGAGTCGCGCGCATGGTCGTGCGCAGTAATCCCAAGGGAATCCCAAAAATAGTGTGGTGAATCCCCAGGGAATCCTAGGAGTCCGTATGATTCCCAGGACTCCTTTCAGGGCTCCAGGGGATTCGAACATTCCTAGAAGATCCCTGAGTTGCGTCGTGCAGGCTTGGGGGGGAGATGCTTTGATGACGTTAGGAAATCGCATATGTATCCTGTCCGTCTCCCAGTTGCTTCCTCAGACGCTTCAGGACCCTCCAAGGGGCACTCATCGTGTGGGAATGGTGCTGAGGTTTTGGTTGCGCGACTGTAGAGCAGAAGCTGCCGCGCAAGAAACAATATGCTGGCGCGCCTCTTGATATTCTAATTTCCTCGCATTCGGAGATTGAGGAAGTCAAGGCTCCCGGGTCGAGTGGTGAGCTCGGCGGCGCAGGGTTCTTTAGGAGGGTGGGCAATGACGCTGCTGAACTGGCGACCAGGATGGGCGCCGACACTCGTTCCCGTCCATCGGATCAAGAAGGCGGGCAGCTGCTTTGTGATCAAGTTGCAGTTGCCCGTGCAGCAATCCAGCTTGCAACGACAGTGTCGCCCGAATGGCCACGGCTGATCTTGGCCAGTGTCGCGTCAGAGGGGAGAGTGAAGGAGAGAGAGAGAGAGGGGGAGAGAGGGAGAGAGACACCTGGGCACTGGGAGGCAGCCGAGAATTGACAATCTGGAGCACGCCTGGTCCCTGTGCAAAGCGTTTTGGCGCTGTCAATGTTGCTGCTCTTCCAGTGGGAGAGAAATAGAGCCCCCACTTCTTGGCTGTGCGGGTGAGATAGAGCTCAGAGTATCAGTGAACACAAGCACGCCCTGTAAGTTTAGCTGCTCTAACACACAGTTGCTGTATGTGTGGTCTAAGTGTGATGCTCACTTAGGCAGCTCTAGGACAGGTTCGTAACCTCAAAAGGGATTGCCTTGGTAACGCCTGCCTATAAGCTTGCTTCTTGGGTTTGGACAGGTTTGCTCGGGTAAACCTCCAAAAAAGTTCACATCTGTCCAAGTCGAGCCTTTAAGTCTCAGGAGGAAGAGAAGGAGGAGGAGGAGGAGGAGGAGGAGGAGGAGGAGTAAGAGGAGGATGAGATGGACGACGAGGAGAAGGATGGAGAGGAGTGGGAATGGGGAGGAGGGAGGAGGAGGAGGAGGAGGAGGAGGAGGAGGAGGAGGAGGAGGAGGAGGAGGAGCAGAGGAGGGAGGAGGAGGAGGAGGAGGAGGAGGAGGAGGAGGAGGAGGAGGAGGAGGAGGAGGAGAGGAGGAGGGGAGGAGGAGAGAGGAGGATGAGATGGACGACGAGGAGAAGGATGGAGAGGAGTGGGAATGGGGAGGAGGAAGGAGGAGGAAGGAGGAGGAGGAGAGGAGGAGGAGGAGGAGGAGGAGGAGGAGGAGGCGGAGGCGGAGGCGGAGGAGGAGGAGGAGGAGGAGGAGGAGGAGGAGGAGGAGGAGGAGGAGGAGGAAGATGAGGCATGACATTGATGGCCCTCCTCCTCCTCCCGCGCCACCTCGTCGGTCCCGGCGGGACAGGCTCGGTTTCCCAGCCCAATGTGGCTAGTGCCTCTTCTGGGGGCGCGGAAATGGGAGGTGAGAAGTCAAGGGTTCAGAGTTCACCATCCCTCTTGGCTTGAGACGGCTCATCCAATCAACGACTAAGCTGTAGGATATCAAACTCTCTCGATGTGTTCTGAAAAACACCTCCTCCTCCTCGGTCCTCCTCCTCGGTCCTCCTCCTCCTCCTCCTCCTCCTCCTCCTCCTCTGTCCTCCTCCTCCTCCTCCTCCTCCTCCTCTGTCCTCCTCCTCCTCCTCCTCCTCCGCCTCCTCCTCCTCCCCGGGCGATGCCCCCGAGGATCCACGACGGGCCTCCAGCGGCCCCCAGAGGCCCAGCACCCAGCGGCCAGGAGTGGGCCAACGACGCAATATAGACCTCGAGGAGGGCGGGGACGGAGGTGCGCCCGAGGGGCGCTGCGTGACGTGGTCGTGCCCGGGAGCGGACGCGGGGGAGGTAGATCCTCCTCTAAAGAGTCGGAGGTGGACAGACCTCCTACCCTGACACGTCGATTAAGGAATCGTCCGTTTTCGGTTCGCGAGAGGGCGTCGCGGCCGTCATTTTTGCGGGTCCAGGTCCGTCGGTTTCGGTCCCAGGCCGATTTTACTAAGGTGAGGTCTACTAAAGGGAGGTCTACTAAAGGGAGGTCTACTAAAGGGAGGTACAGTGCCGTTTTCAATACGTGGTCCGCGTGCGGATCATGTATTAAACATGCAGGGGTTTTGTATGGAAAACAACGATGAGTTCATGCATAAATTTATTCCTAAATTGATCATGTATCACAAGTCCTATATGTTTAAACATCCTATGTATTAAATATTGCCCTGTGTATCCTCCTCTCAAAAGGCTGGTTCCTTCTGCTGCCTCCCCTAAGGCAGGCCGGGGAACGCATGCCCCAAGCAGCTTCATCGAGCTTTTGGCGTAAGGGCTGGCCACATGGGCGGTGACGAGGAGCACGGGAGGGCGCCGTCGCAGCAGAGGCGATTGCAGACTGGAGGGGCGATTTGGGGCGGGGCGGGGCGGGGCGGGCTTGGACCGCGCGGCCCCTTGCCGAGATCTAACGACGACGTTACGACAATCACGACGACGACGACCGCGGCCACGACGGCGACGACGATCACGACCGCGACGACGACGCTGACGACGACGACGATCGCGATCACGACGACTGCGACTTGGTCGTGGGCGGGGCGGGGCCCAGACCCGCCCCTCGCAGGCGATGTTTCTATCCCAACCCCCGACTGTTCGACTAAAAAATGGAGCGGCTAAGAAAAGGAGGGACACCTTGGGATACACCCCGAGAGGAGCTATTCGGACGCACCCCTGTCGAGGATAGGACGCCCCCCCTCGTGCATCCCAGGGTTGGGCCGCAAGTCTTTGGTCCACTCGAAAACCCCCACGAAGCCCGGGACAGGGGTCGACACGTCCCCCCGCCTGCCGAGATCCAGCAGTGCATCGAGAGCGCGCACGGCACCCAGGTGGTGCAGGCCCAGAACCCTTCCACCTCGGGGGGGGGGGGAGGCACGCCCTCCGCCCTGGATGGTGGTGGTGGCGGCGAGTGAGGAGGAGGCTGAGGATCAGGATAAGGATGGGGATGGGGATGGGGGGTCATGGTGATGGTGATGGGGGGATGGTGCTGGTGATGGTGATGGTGATGATGGTGATGGTGCTGGTGATGATGCTGATGCTGATGATGATGACGATGCTGATGACGATGCTGATGGTGGTGCTGATGCTGTTGCTGTTGCTGATGGTGGTGATGATGATGCTGATGATGGTGATGGTGATGGTGATGGTGGTGGTGATGGTGATGGTGATAGTGATGGTGCTGATGGTGATGGTGATGCTGATGCTGATGCTGATGATGATGCTGCTGATGATGATGATGATGATGATCAAATTGCTGCTGCTAATGATGGTGGTGATGATCATGGTGTTGCTGCGGCTGATGATGATAAGGAGGAAGTGGAGGAGGAGGAGGATGAGTAATAGTGCTATGATGATGCTGCTGATGATGATGCTGATGATGCTGATGATGATGGTGAATGATGATGATGATGGTGATGATGATGCTGATGATGATAATGCTGATGATGCTGATGCTGATGCTGATGCTGATGCTGATGCTGATGCTGCTGATGACGATGATGATGATGATGATGATGATGATGGTGGTGGTGGTGGTGGTGGTGGTGATGATGATGATGATGAGGATGAGGATGATGATGATGATGATGATGATGATGATGATGATGATGATGATGATGATGATCATGATCATGATGATGATGATGATGATGATGATGATGATGATGATGATGATGATGATGATGATGATGATGATGATGATGATGATGATGAGGATGAGGATGAGGATGAGGATGAGGGTGAGGATGAGGATGAGGATGAGGATGAGGATGAGGATGAGGAGGAGGAGGAGGAGGACGAGGAGAATGACAAGCCGCAGGAGGAAAATGATGAGGACGTGGTTGATGAGCAACGCGACGAAGAACCTGATCAGCGATAATTTGAGGGCTCTCGCTCGAGACATCCTCGCAAAGTCGACCCCCAGGCCCTGGCGCGCAAGTAGGTCAGGCCCCACCGCGACCCCCAGGGGGCGCGCGAGTCAGCTGCCCCACCGCGCCCCCAGGGACCATTTCCGGGGCGCGCGCTGGCCGCGTCCCAGCAGGGCTCTCGCTCGAGACATCCTCGCAAAATCGAGCGCGAGTAGGTCAGGCCCCACTGCGACCCCAGGGACCGCTTCCGGGGCGCGCGCCGGGCGTGTCCCAGCAGGGCTCTCGTTCGAGACATCCTCGCAAAGTCGACCCCCGGCGCGCGAGTAGGTCAGGCCCCACTGCACCCCCAGGGACCATTTCCGGGGCGCGCGCCGGGTGTCCGTCCCAGCAGGGCTCTCGCTCGAGACACCCTCACTCATGATAATTACTCACTTTCCTGATTTTCGCTTTCCTCACCCTCACTCTCCTGCCTCACGATCCTGATCCTCACCCTGCTCATGCTCATTCTCATTATCCTGATCCCCGCTCTTCTCGTGATGCTCGCTCTGCCGATCCTCACTCTGCTGATCCTCCCTCTCCTGCTCCACACTCGCCCGATCCTCACCCTGCTGATCTTCATTCTCCTCATCCTCGCTCTCCTGACCCTCATTCTCCACGTCCTCACCTTCCTGCTCCACGCTCGCCTGATCCTCGCCCGCGTGACTCTCACTCTCCTGATCCTCCCCCTCGAGAGCCTCGCCCTCCTGATCCTCACGTTCATTCTCCTCTCGATCAATCTCCTCTCGCCCAGAAGAGAAGCGCACGCCCCTTCTTCTATATACAGAAATTCCCGATCAGCCGCAGAGCGGCTGGTTAGTAATGACAGCGCTGGTGTTTCTGATCGTGATAACCACATCGAGGCTGCGAAAATCTGCCCAGGCGTGTCTGGCCCATGCCTGGGGGCCCTCGCCGGGCCCTGGGACCGTCCGAAGACGACTCGCGTGCTGAACAAAACAGAGACATTGCACATTCAGGTGAGAACTCTTCCACCTGTCAGTGGCCTTCTCTTATCACTTACCACTCTTGCGTGCTGGCCAATTCGCTTTTCGGTGCCCCCGTCTAGCTATATCGCTGGTGCAGCTAATTCTGCCTCGCCGCCGACGGAAAAAACATGGCTGGGGGGCGCTTGCGCGCAGTGCTTGGGCCCAGGATTGCCCTCGGCCTGTCGTGGTGAAGGTGGTGGTGTGGTGTGTAGGCTCTACGCACCATGAGTGTTTGTTGCGCGATGTTTGTCCGTGCTCCCGCCTTTGCATGCTGGCCAATTCGCTACAACGGTGCCCCCGTTTAGTCAGATCTTTCCGCCAGCGCAGACGCCCCCTGCCTAGCCGCCGGCGCAAACAGTTGGTTGCGCGATTTGTGCTGCTGGATGACTGGCTCATCGTTCTCAACCATCGTGAGGTGTTGGGCCCTCGTCTTGAAAGAACAGCGCCCCGCGTTCCTCTCCTGCTCTCCTCCTCCTCATCATCCCCTTCCTCCTGCTCGTCCCATCCCTTGCGCCCCTCACACGTTTCGTGCCCCCCTAGGGAGCTACGAGCGCTCCACTGGAGGGCCCCAGTTGCAGCGCCCGCATGCAGTCCCACCCGTCGTTTCGGCGCACCCCTCACGCGTTTCGTGGTCAACAGGGAGCTCCACCGAAGGCCCCAGTTTCAGCGCCCACGTGCTGTTCCACCCCCAATTCGGCACACCAGCCACATTTTTCCTGACCCAAAAGGGAGCTCCACCGAAGGCCCCAGTGGCAGCGCCCGCATGCAGTTCCACCCTCCTTTTCGGCGCACCTCTCGCACGTTTGGTGGCCCCATCGGGAGCTCCACCGAAGGCCCCAGTGGCAGCGCCCGCATGCAGTTCCACCCCCCATTTCGGTGCACCCCTCACTCGTTTCGTTGCCCCATCGGGAGCTCCACCGAAGGCCCCAGTGGCAGCGCCCGCATGCAATTCTACCCCGATTCTTGTGAACTCCTCACGTGTTTCGTGGCGTCTACTGAGAGCTCCACCGAGGGCCCCAGTAGCAGCGCCTGCATGCAGTTCCACCTCCATTTTGGTACACCCCTTATTCGTTTCGTGGCCCCATAGGGAGCTTCACCGGAGACCCCAGTGCCAGCGCCCACCAAGTGCGGTTCAACCCTCCTTTTCGGCATATCTCCCTCACACGTTTCGTGGCCCGATAGGGAGCTCAATCGAAGGCCCCAGTGGCAGCGCCCGCATGCAGTTCCCCCCATTTCGGCGAACCCCTCACACGCTTCGCTTCGTGGCCCCATATGGAGCTCCACCGAAGGCCCCGGTGGCAGGGTTCGCATGCGGTTCCACCCTCCATTTCGGTTCACCTCTCATACGGTTCGCGGGCCCATAGGGAGCTCCACCGAAGGCCCAGGTGGCAGCGCCCGCATGCGGTTCCACCCGCCATGTCGATGCACCGCTCGCACGGTTCCTGGCCCCATAGGGAGCTCCACCGACGGCCCGAGTGGCAGCGCCCGCATGCGGTTCCACCCTGCTTGTCGGCGACCCCCCCCATATATTTCGTTGCCCCATCGGGAGCTCCACCGAAGGCCCCAGTGGCAGCGCCCGCATGGGATTCCACCTTCCATGTCGGCGACCCTCTCACACGTTCCGTGGCCCCATAGGGCTATGCCATAGGCAGCTCCACCGAAGGCTCCAGTGGCATCGCCCGCATGCGGTCCCACCCGCCACCTCGGCGCACCCCTCACACGTTTCGTGGCCCCACAGGGAGCCCCACCGAAGGCCCCAGAGGCAGCGCCCGCATGCGGTTCCACCTTGGATTTCGGCGCACCTCTCACACGGTGGGTGGCCCCAGCGGGAGCTCCACCGAAGGCCTTGGTGGCCCCTGTTGCTGGCCCCCCTCCTTCATTTCATTCTCCTCACGATGCTCGAAGGCCCCAGTGGCAGCGCCCGCATGGTGGCCATGCCACGTTTCGCCACACCCTTCACGCGCTTCGTGGCCCCATCAGGAGATCCATCAAAGACGATACTCACAACGACAGTACTCACGACTGCATATGGTTGGGTCCTTCGCCAGGCTCATTTTGTTTTTTTCTGCTTCGACTCAGTTCGTTTGGTATGGCTTGTTTGGGCCTCTGGCGGTTGTCCGGACAAGTCTTAACCGCCATATGGAACGCAACACAACACAATACATGTAACCAGTTCGAGGCCATACAAAAATGTTCGCGACCAGGCGTGCTCGAGCATAACTTTATCCTTGTGATTGGTATCGCCTTATCCTTATGCCGATCTTAAGAATTGCCATTCGTTTTTTCGGGCACATGCACAACGTGTCATCGCCCTTGGGTTTGTCCATCTCAGAGATAGGGATACACTCGAGGCTGGTTAGGTGATCGTGGTGGTGTGCAGAAGTGCCCTCAGCGCAGCACAGGCCTGCATCCAGCGCCTGCCCCCTGGGCAGCTGGATTTCGTGGTCGAGGCCCTGAGCAGCAGCGCGGAGCCCCTGGGGGTGGCTCCTCCTCCCCCCTCGGATCGGGCGACAGGGGGGAGGAGGAGGCGGAGGAGGAGGAGGAGGAGGAGGAGGAGGAGGAGTAGGAAAAGGAGGAGGAGGAGGAGGAAAAGGAGGAGGAGGAGGAAAAGGAGGAGGAGGAGGAGGAGTTCTCCTGTTGTGGCTGTTATTATTATTATTATTATTGCTATTCTTATCATTACTATTACTATTACTATTATGATTATTATTATTGTTATTATTATTGTTATTACTATTATTATTATCATTATTATTATTGTTATTATTATTATTATTAATATTACTACTCCGACCGCGCCGAGAGTCACCTTCTTCTCCCTCCTCCCTCTGCCTCCTCCTCCTCCTCCTCCTCCTCCTCCTCCTCCTCCCTCATGTTAATATACATATAACGGTGCACCGGGCCCGGGGGCCCGGGGCCGGAACCTCGACCACAAATGTGGGGACCGGGGCCCCGGCCCGCCTCTGGGAGGCTTAAAATCGCCCCAGGGAGCCCTCAGACAGCAATCTCGGCGGCCCCAGACTGTCTCGAGACACGCCCAAGACGCCGTCCAGGTGTTTTTTGCGACGCACGATGCGTTTCAAAGTGCCCCGGAGGCCCCCAAGACGCCCCGAGAGGATTTTAAGATGCCGCCCAAGAGCGCCCCGAGACGGGCAAAGTCGTTGATTTTCATTTGTTTTTTTCCAGTGTTTTTTGCATTCTCGCTGTTTCGTGCTTCCGGCGCTAAAGCCACGCCCAAGAGGCTCCCAAAACCGCTAACAGACGGCCCAAGTGGCTCCCAAGAGGGCCCCAAGACGGCCCAAGAGGGCGCCGAGACGGCCCCAGAGCCGCCCAAGATGGCGCAAGAGGGTCCCAAGAAGGCCCCAAGATGGTCCCAAGAGAGGGAATGCGAAGTGGAAAATCAAGCTCTCCGCCCCAAGATGCCCCCAAGAGGCCCCAAGAGGCCCCCAGGAAGCCCCCAAGAGGCCCCCACGAGACCCCCAAGAGGCCGCACGATGCGTTTAAAATTGTCCCGGAGGCCTCCAAGACGCCCCAAGAGGCCTTGAATTAAGATGCCGCCCAAGAGCGCCCCGAGAGGGCAAACTCGTTGATTTTCATTGGTTTTTCAATGTTTTTTTGCATTCTCGCTGTTTCGTGTTTCCGGCGCTAAATCACCGCCCAAGAGGCACCTAAAACCAGTCCAAGACGGCCCAAGAGGCTCCCAAGAGGGCCCCAAGACGGCCCAAGAGAGCTCCGAGACGGCCCCAGAGCCGCCCAAGACGGCGCAAGAGGGTCCCAAGAAGGCTCCAAGAGGGGCTCAAGAGGGAACGCGAAGTGGAAAATCAAGCTCTCCGCCCCACGATGTCTCCAAGAGGCCCCAAGAGGCTCCCAGGAAGCCCTCAAGAGGCCCCAAGTGGCTCCCAAGGCCGCACGATGCGTTTTAAACTGCCCCGGAGGCCCCCAAGACGCCCCAAGCCTTTGAGATGCCGCCCAAGAGCGCCCCGAGAGGGCAAACTCGTTGATTTTCATGTCTTTTTTGCATTCTCGCTGTTTCGTGTTTCCGGCGCTGAAGCACCGGCCAAGAGGCCCCCCAAACCGCTAACAGACGGCCCAAGAGGCTCCCAAGAGGGCCCCAAGACGGCCCAAGAGAGCCCCGAGACGGCCCCAGAGCCGCCCAAGACGGCGCAAGAGGGTCCCAAGAAGACCCCATAAGGGGCTCAAGAGAGGGAACGCGAACTGGAAAATCAAGCTCTCCGCCCCAAGATGCCCCCAAGAGGCCCCAAGAGGCCCCCGGGAAACCCCAAGAGGCCCCCAAGAGGCCACCAAGAGATCCCCAAGATGCCCCAAGAGGCCCCCAGAGGGCCCCAAGACGGCCCAAGAGAGCCCCGAGACGGCCCCAGAGCCGCCCAAGACGGCGCAAGAGGGTCCCAAGAAGGCCCTAAGAGGGTCCCAAGAGAGGGAACGCGAACTGAAAAATCAAGCTCTCCGCCCCACGATGCCCCCAAGAGGCCTCAAGAGGCCTCAACAGGCCCCTGGGAAGCCCCAAGAGGCCCCTAAGAGGCCCCAAGAGGCCCCCGAAGACATGCCAAGAACGTCCCATGACGACTTCAAGAAGCAGTCCAGGATGCTCCGAGGAGGCCCCAAGAGGTTCCTGGGAGAGCCCAAGAGTCCCCCAAGAGGCCCCCAAGGGGACTCAAGCAGCATCCAGGAGGCCAGAAAGAGGCTCCAAAGAGCCCAGCGGTCCAGGCGGGGGCCGAACTAACATTTCCAGCCCTGGGCTCCCGGAAGCCCAACAGTAAGCCCTAAGAGTTCGACCGTCCAGCCTAGCTAGAACTTGAGCGCGCGCGAAGCGCGCGCGATGGTTTTATTTCTATACAGATAACTGCGCACCTGGCTCGGGGGCCGAGGGCCGGAACCTCGACCACAAATGTGGAGACCCGGGCCTGGGCCCGCTTTTGGGAGGCTTGAAATCGCCCCGGGGAGCCTTCAGACAGCAATCCTAGCGGCCCGAGGGGGTCTCGAGACACCCCCAAGACGCCGTCCAGGGGTCTGCGGCGACGCACACCATGCGTTTTAAATTGCCGCGGAGGCCCCAAGACGCCCCAAGAGGCCTTTAATTAAGATGCCGCCCAAGAGCGCCCCGAGACGGGCAAAGTCGTTGATTTTCATTTGTTTTTTTCATTTTTTTTTTTTGCATTCTCGCTGTTTCGTGTTTCCGGCGCTAAAGCCCCGCCCAAGAGGCTCCCAAAACCGCTTGAGCCCCGAGACGGCCCCAGAGCCGCCCAAGACGGCGCAAGAGGGTCCCAAGAAGGCCCCAAGAGAGGCCCAAGAGAGGGAACGCGAACTGAAAAATCAAGCTCTCCGCCCCAAGATGCCCCCTTAGAGGCCCCCAAGAGGCCCCAAGATGCCCCCAGGAAGCCCCCAAGAGGCCCCAAGAGGCTCCCAACAGGCCCCAAGAGGCCCCCAAGAAGCCCCAAAGAGGCTCCAATAGGCCCCAAGACGGCACCCAACAGGCTTCAAATCTCTTTCTAAGAGGCCCCCGAAGACATGCCAAAAAGGTCCCATGACGACTTCAAGAAGCAGTCCAGGATTCTCCGAGGAGGCCCCAAGAAGCTAGCTAGAACCTGAGCGCGCGCGAAGCGCGCGCGATGGTTCTAGTTTGTGATATGTCATGACACAGTATGAGTTGATGTGGTTTATGTTAGATGCTAGTGTATGATACGACATGTTATGCTATGTAATGACATGGATTGTTATGTTATGTGATGCAAATATAGTTTACGCTATGTTATGCAATGATATGCTATGATATGCCATATTATGAATTGTTACACTATGATATGACACGCCATGGCATGACGATGGTTGTGGTGGTGATGCTGATGACGATGCTGCTGATGATTACGATGCTGCCGATGAGGCTGATTCTGATGATGCTGATGCTGATGATGTTGATGCTGATGCTGATGATCATGATGCTGATGATGCTGCTGATGATGCTGCTGATGACGATGGTGTTGATGATGATGCCGCTGCTGCTGACGATGCTGATGATGATGATGATGATGATGATGGCGATGCTGATGATGCTGATGATGATGGTAATGATGATGTTGATGATGATGATGCTGATGCTGCTGATGATGATGCTGATGTTGCTGATGATAACGCTGATGTTGTCGTTGGTGATGATGATGATGATGATGATGATGCTGATGGTGATGGTGATGGTGATGATGATGATGATGATGATGATGATGATGATGATGATGATGATGCTGATGCTGATGCTGATGCTGATGCTGATGCTGATGATGATGATGATGATGATGATGCTGATGATGCTGATGATGATGATAATGATGATATTGATGATATTGATGATGGTGATGATGATGACGATGATGCTGATGATGCTGATGATGCTGATGATGCTGATGCTGATGCTGATGTTGCTGATGATGATGATGATGATGACGCCGATGATGATGATGATGATGATGATGATGATGATGATGATGATGATGATGATGATGATGATGATGCTGATGCTGCTGATGATGATGATGATGATGATGATGATGATGATGGTGATGATGAAGATGATGAAGATGATGATGATGATGATGATGCTGATGATGCTGATGATGATGATGATTATGATGATGATGATGATGATGATGATGATGATGATGATGATGATGATGATGATGATGATGATGATGATGATGATGGCGGGGTGAACTCTGACGGCGCCTCGAGCGAGGCGCGGGTTTCAGCATCCCCAAGGGGGAGCCGTCAGGGAGTATTGCACTCCTCCGGTCGCGCCAGCATGGCGGGGGTGTCTCGAGCGGTTTGCGTGTTTTCTGCCGCAACATCATCCGCTTTCGGATCTGATCTTGAGGATATCTTGAGTGAGGCGCTGGTTTGTGCTCCCACATGGGGGCGCCAGGGGGTATTGCACTCCTCCGTTCGCGCCAACATGGCGGGGATGTCTCGAGTGGTTGGCTTGTTTGCTGCCGCAACATCCTTTGATTTCGGAGCAGATTCTGAGGATGTCTCGGGCGAAGCGCTGGTTTTCGCAACGCCCGGGGGCACAGATTGAGGGGATGGCTCGATCGGTTTGCTTGTTTTGCTGGACAGGCTCGTCTGCGTTCCAAGCAGATTCTGAGGATGTCTCTGGCAAGGCGCTGGTTTGGTTTCGACACCCCAAGGGGCTTCAGATTGTGAGGATGACCCAGACTCACTTATGCTCAACCTCACTCGTGCTTAGACTCACTCACACTCCGACTCGTACTCATCATATTCATACTCAATTTCAGGTTTACGCACACCCAGGCTCACTCACTCTGAGACCCACCCACCCTCCGACTCACTCGTAGTCAGACTCACTTGTATTCAGACCCACTCATGGTTGCACTCACTCATGCTCATACTCAGGCTCACTCACATACACACTCAGACTCACTCGCACTCTGACCCACCCATTCACTCGTAGTCAGACTCACCGGTACTTAGACCCATTCAGACTCAGACTCGTATTCATTAGACTTACACTCAGACCCACTCACACCCAGACTTACCCACATTCAGATCACTATCACTCGGACTCGCTCATTATCTGACTTGTGCATTATGACTCCTTACTAGCTCCATGCAAATAGGTGCACACTGGGGCCCCAAGGCTGCCATGAGGCACCAGGAGGCCCCAAGAGGCCCCAGGAGCAGGAGGCCTCACATGGCCATAGGAGTGGCTCCAATACCATGTGTTTTACGTATGCTCCTACAGATTGTGCCCGAACACGAACCCCTAGGAGTGGTTTACGTCTGTTTCTATGTATATGTGAATAGATATATATATATATATATATATATGTATTGCCCTTCTCTTGTCTATCCAATCCTGCGTGCTTTACGTCTGTTCCGATATATTGGGTCTCCTCTGGGGCACGATTCTATGTTGTTTTACGTGTTTTCCGATGTATACATATATATATATATATGTATGTATATAGGTTGCCCTTCTCCTGCGGCTCCAATTGGCAGTGTTTTGTGACTGTCTGTTCCTATGTATTGGGCCTCTCCTGGAGCACGAATCCTCCCCAGGAGGCCCCAGGAGGCTCCAGGACCAGGAGGCCCCAGGAGGCCTCAGGCGCAGAGACGCGTCCGTACTACTGAGACTCATTCACACTCCAACTCATTCACAGTTAGATTCATTCCCAGACCGTCAATACTCAAGCCCGTGAATATTCGAAAACTCTTGCGCCTAGACACGGCGGACAGGTCCATGCTAATAGATGCACATATGGAGAGTTCCACGCAGGAGGAGGAGGAGGAGGAGAAGGAGGAAGAGAAGGAGGAGAAAGAGCAGAAGGAGGGAGGAGGAGGAGGAGGAGGTGGAGGAAGAGGCGGAGGAGGAGGGAGGGAGGGAGGTGGGGTGGGGGAGGGGAGGGAGGTAGGGAGGGGAGGGAGGTAGGGAGGGGGGGTAGGGACGGGCGAGCGAGCGAGCATGCAGCAGTGCAGTCGAACATGGCAGTACAGCGCGTTGAAATAGAACAGCAGAGGGATAACATGAGAGTCTGCCCCCTCCACAAGATGGTGCAACAAGGAGGTTGCATTTGAGACGCGTTGTATTCCGCCTATGTAGTGCCACCCGTGTTCTGTTGCTCCCTGCTTTGAAAGGGGTCCAGGGGCATGGTGTGCTCGGTATGGTGCAACAAAGAGGTTGCATTTGAGACGCATTTGTTTCCTCATCTGTGGTGTCATTTGCTCTGGGGGAGAAAACAAAACAAGATGGGGGTTCAGCAGGCTGAGCCCAACGAAATTGTCATGAAAGAAAGTGCACCTGGGCACCTGTCTTCGGATGCTGGCCGCGCGAAGCAGCCGAGGTCATCCTGAGGTGCCCTTCACGAGTTGAGCGCAACTGTGTCTCCCCTTTGCACTCCGCCTTGAGGCCACGACAGTTGCCTCTCGGAAGCAAGAGCAAGCACGCACACCGCTCGCAGATAGCACATGGGAAACAACTGAGGCTTGTGACCCAGCCGTCGAACCACACCCAGCTAAAGGAGGAGGCGGGGTCAGGATGCTGACCCGGGACCCCATCAGCAGCCGCGAGGGCGATCCTGGCTCGGCCTTGGCGAACAGTTCGCTTGAGCACCACGTCACGCCTGGGCCGCATCAGGGTTGCACCCAGGGCTTGCACCCGTTCGCAGTCCCTTCAGGGTCTGCTCGGACACCGCGGTGCCACTGCACCTTCGGCACCGTCACTCGCTGCGGCTCGGGAGAAGAGCAAGCTGGTTTTCCTCGAAGTCCATATTGTGGGACCCCCCCTCAGGCCCCCCCCGGCCCCCTCCCCCCCTCATCGGATTTCAGACTCCACGGGTGGGGGAACGGGGGAGGTGAACAGCCAATCATCTCACAAGCCTTTGCACCCCTGGCAAGCGGGGGTCAGCGTATTTTTCGTGCTACCGGGCTCCCCGGGCGGGGGGGGGGTACTGTTTCTTTCCTAGCGTTATCCCTATGGTTGTCATCACCTGATTTGTTATCTCGATGCCGATCTTGAGGATTTCCTCAGTTTCTGTTGACGCATCCCTTAGACCGTCATCCCATCTCGGCTTGCTAATATCTGGATAGTGGTAAGCTGGAGACTGGTTAGGTTTGCGCAGTAGATGGCCCAACCTCGTTTCTCGTTCGGGCCCCCCTGCCCGACCCACAATCATATTCGGGCTTTGCGGGTCTGCTTTCTCCTCGTCAGTGGCCTCAGAATTCTGAGTGCCCAGAGCTTTTCTTCCCAAAACGCTCATCACCGTTTGTTTGGGTTGTCGCCTCCTCACCTCGTGTTCTAACCGCTCATCTTCCCTCTTCGCGTGTAATGCTTATCTCCTCTTATGATGTCCCAGCCTACTTTAGCCCTGATCACCAGAAACATTTCGAGTGCCAGAAAAAAGGACCGAACCTCGAGGCTTTTCGCGTGTCGGGCCGTGGGAGACACTTGGTCGATACTGGTTCGACACTGTTTCGGCACTGTTTCGACACTTTCTGGGTGCTCGAAATTATTTTTTGGATGTGGTTTTTAACGACGATAGGGGCAACGTAAATCTCCTCGTTCCCCGATGCTACTTGTGTGGGGGACACCGCCCATCCTGGGTGCTGGCAGCACCCCCGGGGGGATCCGGCAGAGTGCGGACCCGCGCGGACCCATCGAGACCTTTTCTCAGGCGATCGCAATTATGGATCAAGGGGGCGTGGAATAGCGACGGGTCCTGTTTCCATGGGAAATCGCGGATTTCCGCCGCCGAGCGAGGCGGCATTGGCCGCATTTTGCGGAGGGCACCTCCTCAGATACATGGATTTGGCGACCGCGCGTCATATCCATGGATCGCTAATCCATGTTTGCGCGGCCCTGGCCTGAGAAGTCCAGCAGAGTGCGGCCCCTCACAGAACAGCGGGATCGCGAACATCCCACGAGCCCCGCGCCACGCCCCACTTGTCATTCGGAGCGCCCAACAAAAATTCAGCCCCTGGGGGTCGGGGTCTCTTGAGGAGCACTTCCAGTAAGAGATGTAGTGGAGACCCATGCCGAGAAACACCCTGCTTGCCTCCAGGGTGCCCTGGGTTTCTTGGGTTTCGATGGTTCTGCGATATGGCCTGCAAGATACCCAAGGCACTGCAAACGGAGTGTTAGTAAACGGTGTGGCAGCTAAGGGGCCCCTTCAAGCAAGAACGAGGCGACAGGGCATTTACCTCGGGCTAGTGCGTGGTAAATCGGAACGACAAAAGCTTCGATACATCATCATAACAGACGACAGAATCTTTGATACGTCATCATAACAGGCGACAGAAACTTCAAGACATCATAATAACTCTGGGCGTGGGGGGTCACCTCGCACTTGTGCGCGGCAAACCAAATTTTGAAAACACCACTGAAAACGCACCCCCAGCTACCGGCACGTTGACGAGCGCCCCGTTTGCAGGGGCTTCGGATACATTGAATTGATTTGTTCCTGGCTCATCGTCCGTGGTCGGGGGTTCGGGCGTTCCTTGAGCATCGGCTTCGGGCGAGCATGGAATTCGGCTTCCCGCGGCAGCCGGAATGCCAGGGGTTTGCGTGGATTGTTCGTATCCCTTGCCGCCCTAGGCCCTGGCTCCTTGTCTGTGGTCGGGGGTTCGAGCACTCTTTGAGCATCGGCTTCGGGTGAGCAGGGAGTTGGGTTCCCGCGGCAGCCAGAATGGCAAGGGGTTTGTGTGGATTGTTCGTGTCCCCTGTCGCCCCTGGCTTAGTGGGCCCTGTCTTGGGCTTACAGTGGAGACCCATGCCAAGAAACACCCTGGTTGACGTCCCCACACCAAAAGTCAATGGACGTCCTGGGGCCTGAGGGTTGGGTTTCTTGTGGAAGGTTCCTTGTGGTCGGGCCCCTACTGTAGTTGGCACCGCCCAACCATGCTCATGCTATGTGTGCAACGGTCACGCAAAGAGCGACGCGCACGCCCAGAAATCTCAATCAGCTCCGAGGTGGGCGCTCTCTGGCCCTCAAGCTCGGGCATAGATGCACGACGAGACTTGGTCTGATCTGTTTTGGTCGGACGTGCGTCTCTAGCAAAGGCACGCAGTACGAGTATGTCCTCATGCGTCGCGCATGGGACGTTCCAGAAAGGACCTTGCCTTCGAGGATCGAAGGAGTTGTCATCTCTTTCTCGGCGGAAGGGCGGCGGAAGGTCGGCGGAAGTAAAACGAGGCCGCCTCCGCCGGCGGAAGCCAGCAGAAGGGCGGCGGAAGGCGGCGGAAGTAGAGAACGCGCCCCAAGAGATGAAAACACATTTTTGGGTTCAGGGTTTTCGGAACCTGCCCCTCAGATTATCCTTTCGAAGACCTCCCTCTAGGCCTCCCAGATGGGGTCCGAGTAGATGGGGTCGGAGGATCGCGCCGCATCGCCGATGCATCGGCGATGCTGCTCGATGCGGAGCCCAGTTTTCTCCACGCGGACGGCGCCGATGCACCGCCGACGTCGCCGATGCATCGCCGATGCATCGCCGCTGCATCGCCGCTGCGCCGCGATCCGCCGACCCCGTCTGCTGCCTCCCGAGGTGCGGCCTCGGGGCCCGGCAGCGCTGCCGCGGCCCCCCGGGCGGCTCCTCGCCGCCCCCGCACGGGGCCCCCGAGGAGCGGATGGTCTCGCACGTGTACGGGAGCCGGGTGCTGAGGCTCCTGTTCGAGCGCTGCCCGGACTGCAGGGCCAGCCTGGTCCTCGGGGTGTCGAAGGAGGAAAAAAAAAACGTAACGAACGTAAGTTTCTGGTGCTTCGCGCGGATTTCTTGGTTCTGCGCTGGGCCCCCCCCCCGGCGGCGCCTCCGGCGCCGCCCCTCGCGCGCTCCGCGCGCCAGGGAGGGGGTCCAGCGCAGATCCAAGAACTCCGCGCGGAGCGCCAACAGTTTATGTTTATGTAGTTTTCTCTTCTTTTAGATTTGTCGACTCCCAATCCGCGAGGAGAGTTTTTTTGGAATCCCGGCCGATACGAGGCGTTATCAGGGGGGAGGGAGGCGGGGTGCGGGGGGCCGGTGACGTCACGTTTCGCGCCAGCGCCGTGTGGGAGTGTTTAGTCAGGAGGGGAAAAAACACAGACACAGTTAATCGACGATTCTGAGGAAAATATGCGAAAAAATGGGCTGGAATGGGACCCCCTTCTTGGACCCGATCAAGACTGTGCTGCAGGTCCCTTGGGCCAAAGGTAAATTAGCAGATATTGTTTCAATACACGCGTCAAGTGGATTGGGGACGCAGCCAAAGCGCTTTGAAGAGCGTTATTCCTTGTCGTCCGCCTGCAGGTGGTGTGGACACCCGTCAGGCTTGATGTTTTACGGACTTTACAGCTGCGACGGCCCAGAGGCATGGCGTCGTGATCAGGGTTATGAAGATGTCGTGTCGGTCGGTTGGAAGTTCCTTAGCAACAGCTCAGTTGTCGTCGGGGTCACAGACAGTATGAGAGACGCCATGCCTCCGCCCCAGCATGTTCACGAATGGCCTCAGCGCGGTCTCCTAGGAGGCGGGTACCTCAGCGCGTTGATCTTCATAGACCGCTCGTGGGTCAACCCAGATGTGGAGGGGGCGACGAGGGCAGGACGGGCGGACGTATCTCGCACGCTTGGCAGCGAGCTAGTCTCATCGGCGGCCGACGGGCCACGGCCAGTGCCTGTGCAGAGCGTGGGCATTGCTGAGCAGTTCGTGATCTACATGGTTTTCCGGCTCATGGGGCCCAGGGCGACCACTATCACGGATCACAAGAACCTCTTGATATGCCTCCAAAAGTGCCCCGAGAAGATGAGCAGGGTTTCAGATCCGTGTTGGGAAGTCTGGCGACTGGTCTTCGGGAATGTGAACGTCGCGAGGTCGGAGAATGTGAATCTTCAGCGGGAGCTGTCTCTTAAAAGCAGCGCGGGGCTCCAGGATCACGACTTCTCGGACTCCAGGTACCATGGAAATCGGCAGGCCGTAAAGTATTCGAGGTTGGGGGCTCTAGTGCGTCCTGTAGTGTCCCAGCTGGACCAAAGGGTCCAGGCGGCCTTGGTGTTCGGTAGGCAGTTCACGTGGCTCCTGGCAGACTCCCTGAGACACCTGGAGACTCTAGGATTTCCTGATTTGGACAAGGTCCCGTGGGCTACAAAGGTCCCCTGGCAGACCCAGACGTTAGGTGATGAACCCCTGTGCGTGTTAAAACTCACCACGGGGGCCCGAGGCCACCTGCTGCACAACGCTGCTAGCAGGTGGGGTTTCCAGATTTTGCGCAGTGAATGCGGCTCGTCGGAGTGCATTCACAAGAATGAGTGTCCTGGCAAGCCGAGGGCGCCTGCGAGGACGCGCGAGTCGCACCGCAAGTGGGTGCTCGGCTCGTATTTGTATTTCAGCAAGCAGTGCGGATGCCACGCGCGGTGGCGGGTCAAGGACTCGGCCGCGCGCTGCCTTCGCCCTGCTGGGACTGGGAAGGTTGGGGCTGTGAAGTACATGCGCCAGGGCATGGGCCCCGCTTCCAAGGCGTTGGTGGGGCGCCCCTTCCCAGTCCTCTAATTGCCCCCAACGGGCCAGTCTTTCTCCGAGGGATTGCGTCCGCAGAGGCTCCAGAGGCTCCAGAGGAGGAGGGCGAGGAGCAGGACCAGGACCAGGATCAGGAGCGGAAGGAGGAGGAGGAAGCGCAGGAAGGAGGAGTCGTCACCGTTGCCGTCTTGTTTGTCACTCTCCAAGTGTGTTGTTATCCAGCACTTGCGGGAGCGAGGCGGCATTTCGCGATGCATGCTGATTGGCGAGGCTGCCGTGAGAGCTGCGATGCAGGACGAAGATGGGCCCGCGTCGGCTGTCGACGTAGGTTAATTTGTTTTGTTCGACCGTGCGCAGGAGGGCCTCATCGTCTGCGTCGTCGATGTCGTCGTCGTGGGTTTTTTGTTGCGTCGTCGCCCAGGAACTCTGCGCGACCACGAAGGGCGCCGACGACCAGCAAGTCGCGATTTTTTACACTCAGTCTGTGGCTCCCCGCAGATGGCGCGGGCAGCGCCAGGGCTTGGCGGACGCGCGCCTACGCCGCAGGGCCATGGCGCAACCGCCCCATTTCGGCGCACACCTCACGCGGTTCGCGGCCCAGCGGAAGATGTTTCGAGTTGGGGGGGCGTCCGCGGCGTTTCTACAGTTTAAGGACGCGGCCGCTCAGAAGCAGACGAGCTCCCCATGGGAGCTCTCTCTCTTCCGTTGGAGATGGCGTCGCGCGTGCGCGGCGCCTTCTTCCGCGCACCATCACAGAACGCTGCGCTGCGCCCAGGATGGCTGGACCAACCTGCGCAGGTCGAGCACTGAACTTCTCGAGGCTAATGATGCCACGGCGGAGCAGGCGCTATTGCGCCCTGGTGCAGAGACTCAGCCCATCAGCGACCCAGCCCATCAGCCACTCAGCCCATCAGGGGCTCTGCCCATCAGCGACTCAAGGTGGCAACCCTCAGTCCATGCTTGGCCAGGCGCATGCCATGGGCGCGCCAGCGACTCAGCCCATCATCGAATCAGCCCATCAGCGACTCAGCCCATCAGCGACTCAAGGTGCCAACCCTCAGTGGGCACGCCCCGCGGCGCGCGCGCGCGGTAGAGGCTCCCGCCGTGACGGTGGGGGCCCCGCGGCGCGTGCACGGTAGACGGTTGGGCCGCGCCCGCCTTGCGAGACCGTGGGCATGCCCCGCGACGCGCACGCGGTAGAGGCTCCCACCGCGACGGTGGGGGGCTCGCGGCGCGTGCACGGTAGACGGTTGAGTTGCGCCCTGCAGGTGCTCAGAGACGCCAGGCCCAGCCCTCAGCGGCTAAGTGTACGCGCGATTCAGCCCATCAGCGACTCAGCCCATCGGCGTCTCAAGGTACCTACCCTCAGTCGATGCTAGGCCAGGCACAGGCCAGGCTCAGGCCAGGCGGAGGCCAGGCTCAGGCTAGGTCCACCAGCGGCTCAGCCAATCAGTGGCTCAGCGCGCCACTCCATCAGCCCATCAGTGGCCCAGCCTACCAAAAAGGCGCTGCGACTCACGATAGCTGGCTCCGAGGCCCTACTTTTAGGGCGTCGACCCGAAAGTTACGGCCTGTATCCTAACAAAGCCTCGATGCATGGATGGAGTGCGCGCGCGTTTGCTATTGTCATTGTATATGTCGAAGCTTGAGTCTCGTGTTGTGCAACTTCAGTTGCTTTCGTTCGAGTTTAGGGCTGACAGCTCACTGACCTAAGCGTCTCGCCGCCGTAACTCCTAAAGGTTAATTTAGAGCCTGTGAGGGGCCAGTTTTGGGGCTACGAGGGGCCCAATTGGGGCTGCGAGGGACCAAAATGGGGCTACTGAGTCCTGGGGGCTGGAGGAGGCCGTCCTACGCGCGCAGGCGCACACAAAGTGAGTGGCCAAATTGGGGCTACGAGTGGCCAAATTGGGGTACAAGGGACCGGGGGGCCAAAGTGGGACTACTCACGAGGAATTGTGTGGGCATCGCATAGCCCTTAGACCGACTCAGCCCATCAGGGGCTCTGCCCACCAGTGACGCAAGGTGGCAACCCTCAGTCCATGCTTGGCCAGGCGCAGGCCATGCGCCCGCCAGCGACTCAGCCCGTCAGAGACTCAGCTCATCATCCACTCAGCCCATCAGGGGCTCTGCCCATCGGCGACTCAAGGTGGCAACCCTCAGTCCATGCTTGGCCAGGCGCATGCCACGGGCCCGCCAGCGACTCGGCCCATCAGCGACCCAGCCCATCAGCGACCCATGGTGCCAACCCTCAGTGGGCATGTCCCACGACGCGCGCGCGGTAGAGGCTCCCGCCGTGACGGTGGGGGCCCCACGGCGCGTGCACGGTAGACGGTTGGGTTGCGCCCACCCTGCGGGGCTGTGGGCATGCCCCACGACGCGCACGCGGTAGAGGCTTCCCCCGTGACGGTGGGGGCCCCACGGTGCGTACGCGGTAGACGGTTGGGTTGCGCCCTGCAGATGCCTAGAGACGCCAGGCCCAGCCCTCAGTGGCTAAATGTACGCGCGATTCAGCCCATCAGCGACTCAGCCCATCGGCGACTCAAGGTACCTACCCTCAGTCGATGCTAGGCCAGGCTCAGGCCAGGCTCAGGCTAGGCCCACCAGCGACTCAGCCCATCATTAGCTCAGCGCACCAGCCAACCAGCCCATCAGTGGCCCAGCCTGCCAAAAGACGCTGCGAATCACGATAGCTGGCTCGTAGGCCATACTTCTAAGAAGTAGGCCTTAAAGTTAGGGCCTATACCCTAACAAAACCTGGCTGCATGGCTGGCGTGCGTGCGCGTTTTGCTATTGTCTTGACATCAGTCGAGGCTTGAGTTGCGTGCTGTGCAACTTCAGTTGCTTTTCGGTTTAGGGCCTACAGCTCACTAACCCCAGAACCTCGCCGCCTTAACTCCTAAATTTTAATTTAGGGCCCAGGTGAACAATTTGGGCTACGGTGAACCATATTTGGGCTACGGCGAACCATATTTGGGCTACGTTGAACCATATTTGGGCTACGCGTGCCCAAACGAGTGCAGGCGCGCAAAAAGTCAGCCGCCATATTTGGGCTACGGTGATTCATATTTGGGCTACGGTGAACCATATGTGGGCTACGGTGAACCAAATTTGGGCTACGGTGAACCATATTTGGGCTACGCGACCCTAGGATTCTGGGGCAGGACGTTTAGGGGGAGGTTTAGGGCATGGGATCTAATTTTCACGACATGTACAGCAGCCCATCAGCGACTCAGTATGCCAGCGCACCAGCCCATCAGCCCATCAGTGGCTCAGCCCAGCAGCGACTCAAGGTGCCAACACTCAGTCCATGCTAGGCGAGGTGCAGGCTAGCCTCAGGCCAGGACAGAGGGTGAGGACCTGTGAGGAGCAGAGTGGATGGATAGATGGACGATCCACCACCGCAAACATTGGTTACCGTTTAGGGGGGGGGGGCTGCGCCACCTCCACCCCCTAGAGAAGAACATCCCCTGTCACGGTGGGCGCACGCCGCGGCGCGTACACGGTAGAGACTTCCCCCCCCGTAACGGTGGGGCGCGCCACGGCGCGTGCACGGTAGGGGCTCCCCCCCGTCGCGGTGGGCACGTTTCCCCCCGTCACGGTGGGGCATGCCGCGGCGCGTGCACGGTGGAGGCTTCCCCCCGTGACGGCGGGGTGCGCCGCTGCGCGTGCTCGGTAGGGCCCCCCCTTGTGACGGTAGACGCCCCCGCGGCGTGTGCGCGGTATACGGTTAGGTTGCCACGCGCGGGGCGTGCTCGAGTTGTTGCTTCCTAGAGGCGCCAGGCCATCAGCCCATCAGCGACTCAGCCTTCAGTGGCTAAGTGCGCCAGCGGCTCAGCCCATAACGACTCAGCCCTCAGTAGATAAGTGCACCAGCGATTCAGCCCATCAGCGACTCAGCCCTCAGTGGCTAAGTGCGTCAACGACCCAGCCCCATCAACGACTCAGCCCTCAGTGGCCAAGTGTGTCAGCGGCCCACCCCCAGCAGTCAGCGACTGAGTGCGTCAGCGGCTCAGCCCATCATCGACCCAACCCACGATAGGAGGCTCGAGGCAGGTACGTTTAGGGGATATTCCCTGGCATGTAGGGGATGCACCATTACTTTAGTGGTTATTCCCCCCAAATCTAAGCCGACCATGGCGTTGAAATCGTGTACCAACACAGCCCCAGTGACTAAGTGCGTCAGCGGCCCAGCCCATCAGCGACTCAACCCACGAAAGGAGGCTCGACGCAGTTGCGTTTGCGGGGCAGCCCCCGACATTTAGGGGATACCCCTTAATTTTATAGGTTATTCCCCCAAGCCTAAGCCGACCATGGCTTTGAAATCGTATACCAGTGCTACTACATTGCCATCGGTCGTGGGATGTTGCCCTGGTTCGGCAGCCTGAATTTAGGGGATAAGACATCCACTAACCCCAGCAGCCCCCACCGTAACCCCTAAATGTTAATTTAGGGCCGCGCGTAACCATATTTGGGCCACGCGTAACCATATTTGGGCTACGCGTAACCATATTTGGGCTACGTTGAACCATATTTGGGCTGCGCGTGCCCAGACGTGTGCAGACACGCAAAAATTTGGGCTACGCGTAACCATAGTTGGGCCACGCGTAACCATATTTGGGCTACGCCACCCTAGAACTTTGGGGCTGGACGTTTAATGGGTGAGGTTTAGGGCATGGGATCTAAGGTTCACGACATGTACAGCAGCCCATCAGCGACTCAGTATGCCAGCGCACCAGCCCATCAGCCCATCAGTGGCTCAGCCCAGCAGCGACTCAAGGTGCCAACACTCAGTCCATGCTAGGTGGGCCCACCAGCGACTCAGCCCATCAGCGACTCAGCCCATCAGCGACTCAAGGTGCCAACCCTCAGTGGGCATGCCCCACGACGCGCGCGCGGTAGAGGCTCCCGCCGTGACGGTGGGGGCCCCACGGCGCGTGCACGGTAGACGGTTGGGTCGCGCCCACCCTGCGGGTTTGTGGGCATGCCCCACGACGCGCACGCGGTAGAGGCTTCCCCCGTGACGGTGGGGGCCCCACGGCGCGTGCACGGTGGACGGTTGGGCTGCGCCCTGCAGGTGCCTAGAGACGCCAGGCCCAGCCCTCAGTGGCTAAGTGCACCAGCGACTCAGCCCATCAGCGACTCAGCCTATCGGCGACTCAAGGTATCTACCCCCGGCCGGTGCTAGGCCAGGCTCAGGCCAGGCTCAGGCCAGGCCCAGGCTAGGCTCAGCGCGCCAGCCAATCAGCCCATCAGTGGCTCAGCCCGCCAAAAGACGCTGCGAATCACCATATCTGGCTCGTAGGTCCTACTTCAAGGGCGTAGGCCCTAAAGTTAGGGCCTATACCCTAACAAAACCTCGCTGCATGGCTGGCGTGCGTACGCGTTTGCTATTGTCTTGGCACCAGTCGAGGCTTGAGTTGCGCGTTGTGCAACTTCGGTTGCTATTCGGTTTAGGGCCTACAGCCCACTAACTCCAGCAGCCCCCCACCTTAACTCCTAAAGGTTAAGTTAGGGCCGCGCGTAACCATATTTGGGCCACGCGTAACCATATTTGGGCTACGCGTAACCATATTTGGGCTACGCGTAACCATATTTGGGCTACGCGTGCCCAAACGTGCGCAGGCACGCAATCTGTGCGTAACCATACTTGGGCGACGCGTAACCATATTTGGGCTACGCGTAACCATAGTTGGGCCACGCGTAACCATATTTGGGCTACGCCACCCTAGAATTCTGGGGCAGGACGTTTAGGGTGAGGTTTAGGGCATGGGATCTAAGGTTCACGACCTGTACAGCAGCCCATCAGCGACTCAGTATGCCAGCGCACCAGCCCATCAGCCCATCAGTGGCTCAGCCCAGCAGCGACTCAAGGTGCCAACCCTCGGTCCATGCTAGGTGGGCCCACCAGCGACTCAGCCCATCAGCGACTCAGCCCATCAGCGACTCAAGGTGCCAACCCTCAGTGGGCATGCCCCACGACGCGCACGCGGTAGAGGCTCCCACCGTGACGGTGGGGACCCCACGGCGCGTGCACGGTAGACGGTTGGGCTGCGCCCACCCTGCGGGGCTGTGGGCATGCCCCACGACGCGCACGCGGTAGAGGCTTCCCCCGTGACGGTGGGGGCCCCACGGCGCGTGCACGGTAGACGATTGGGCTGCGCCCTGTAGGTGCTTAGAGACGCCAGGCCCAGCCTTCAGTGGCTAAGTGCACCAGCGACTCAGCCCATCAGCGACTCAGCCCATCGGCGACTCAAGGTATCTACCCCCAGCCGATGCTAGGCCAGGCTCAGGCCAGGCTCAGGCCAGGCTCAGGCCAGGCTCAGGCCAGGCTCAGGCCAGGCCCAGGCTAGGCTCAGCGCGCCAGCCAATCAGCCCATCAGTGGCTCAGCCCGCCAAAAGACGCTGCGAATCACCATATGTGGCTCGTAGGCCCTACTTCTAGGGCGTAGGCCCTAAAGTTAGGGCCTCTACCCTAACAAAACCTCGCTGCATGGCTGCCGTGCATACGCGTTTGCTATTGTCTTGGCACCAGTCGAGGCTTGAGTTGCGTGTTGTGCAACTTCGGTTGCTTTTCGGTTTAGGGCCTACAGCCCACTAGCTGCAGCAGCCCCCCACCTTAACTCCTAAAGGTTAAGTTAGGGCCGTGCGTAACCATATGTGGGCCACGCGTGACCATATTTGGGCTACGCGTAACCATATATGGGCTACGCGTAACCATATTTGGGCTACGCGTAACCAAACGTGTGCAGACACGCAAAAAGTGCGCAACCATATTTGGGCTACGCGTAACCATATTTGGGCTACGCGTAACCATAGTTGGGCCACGCGTAACCATATTTGGGCTACGCCACCCTAGAACTTTGGGGCTGGACGTTTAATGGGTGAGGTTTAGGGCATGGGATCTAAGGTTCACGACATGTACAGCAGCCCATCAGCGACTCAGTATGCCAGCGCACCAGCCCATCAGCCCATCAGTGGCTCAGCCCAGCAGCGACTCAAGGTGCCAACCCTCGGTCCATGCTAGGTGGGCCCACCAGCGACTCAGCCCATCAGCGACTCAGCCCATCAGCGACTCAAGGTGCCAACCCTCAGTGGGCATGCCCCACGACGCGCACGCGGTAGAGGCTCCCACCGTGACGGTGAGGACCCCACGGCGCGTGCACGGTAGACGGTTGGGCTGCGCCCACCCTGCGGGGCTGTGGGCATGCCCCACGACGCGCACACGGTAGAGGCTTCCCCCGTGACGGTGGGGGCCCCACGGCGCGTGCACGGTAGACGGTTGGGCTGCGCCCTGCAGGTGCCTAGAGACGCCAGGCCCAGCCCTCAGTGGCTAAGTGCACCAGCGACTCAGCCCATCAGTGACTCAGCCCATCGGCGACTCAAGGTATCTACCCCCAGCCGATGCTAGGCCAGGCTCAGGCCAGGCCCAGGCCAGGCTCAGGCCAGGCTCAGGCCAGGCCCAGGCTAGGCTCAGCGCGCCAGCCAATCAGCCCATCAGTGGCTCAGCCCGCCAAAAGACGCTGCGAATCACCATATCTGGCTCGTAGGCCCTACTTCTAGGGCGCAGGCCCTAAAGTTAGGGCCTCTACCCTAACAAAACCTCGCTGCATGGCCGGCGTGCATACGCGTTTGCTATTGTCTTGGCACCAGTCGAGGCTTGAGTTGCGTGTTGTGCAACTTCGGTTGCTTTTCGGTTTAGGGCCTACAGCCCACTAACTGCAGCAGCCCCCCACCTTAACTCCTAAAGGTTAATTTAGGACCGCGCGTAACCATATTTGGGCCACGCGTAACCATATGTGGGCTACGCGTAACCATATTTGGGCTACGCGTAACCATATTTGGGCTACGCGTGGCCAAACGTGTGCAGGCACGCAAAAAGTGCGCAACCATATTTGGGCTACGCGTAACCATATTTGGGCTACGCGTAACCATATTTGGGCCACGCGTAGCCATATTTGGGCTACGCCACCCTAGAACTTTGGGGCTGGACGTTTAATGCGGGAGGTTTAGGGCATGGGATCTAAGGTTCACGACATGTACAGCAGCCCATCAGCGACTCAGTATGCCAGCGCACCAGCCCATCAGCCCATCAGCGGCTCAGCCCAGCAGCAACTCAAGGTGCCAACCCTCAGTCCATGCTAGGTGGGC